CAAATTCTAGAACTTCATGAATGTTAGCATTATATTGGCTATCATCTTCTTCATCCTCGGAGTTTTCATTATTTAGGGACCGGTTTGAACTTGCTACTCATTTTCCCTTGTAATCTGAACTTGAAGAACTCCCTCTAAGACCATAGATATTCTCCTCAACTCCAGCCGCCATAGAAACAGTACCCCAATCAAGATCATCTCCTACATACACTTGTTCTTCTTTATGATTTTGGGGGGCTCCAGTTAACCATTCATTTGCCTCGTCAATGTTATCCAACAAAATTGGATCAATGGTATCGCGAGCTTCATAACGTCGCCTCAATGTTCTATTGTATTTAATATACACTAGATCATTGAGATGCGATAACTCAAGCCTATTCCTTTTCTTGGAGTGAATCTGCACATAAATTATTTAGATTAATTAATAGATACTAATAATAATACAATATAGAATATTTTAATATAATAAGTCTGCTTCTTACATGCTCAAATACGCTCTAATTTCTCTCGCATCCGGATGCACTACAAGTTAGGCTTAGTATTTTGATGGCAAACTTTTGCAAGTTTGGAGTTTGATGTCCAAATTGCATCCACCATTCAACTATAGAAAAATATTTTAAAAGTTAATAAGTATAAATCAAATAAATTAAATTAAAGCTATAAGGATATCTATATTAAAGTTAGTTACCTGGCGACCTTATGTCTCTGGCTCTAATGGCCGCCTGTAAACCAAAAAGGCCATCTGCTTGTGAGTACCTATCAAATTTCTTCCTTATTTGATCTACAAATCGCTGAATCAGGGACCAACTTCTCAAGACATTGATGGTATCTAACCCAAACCTTTGAATCCAAAGTGTCATCTCTAGTGTTCTTGTAAAATAATCCTGGGTTCAGAAGATGGCCTGCTGCATGCAAAGGTCGATGGAGTTGATTCGACCACCTGCTATCAATAATCTCAAAATATTTCTCATATTTCATAACATCTCCCTCAAATGACGCTTCAATAGTCTCTTTGGCTCTATCCATAGCTTCATAAAGATAGCACATTGGTGGTTTTCTCTCTCCATCCACCATACGAAGCACCCTAATCAAAGGACCACCAACTTTAAGAGCCCGAACAACGTCATTCCAAAATGATGGAGAAATAAGAACTTTGGCAACTTCTTTCCCCGTAGCTTACTTTGCATATCTATTATCTTTCCATCCATTTGAAAGAACTAGGTTTCTCAAGTTTTTCTTTTGCAAGTAAAAACTATGCAAAGTTAAGAAAGCCGTTGCAAATCTAGTCTTGACCGGTCTCACCAAATTTCTTTTATTTGTGAATTTTCTCATCAAATTCAACAACAACGGCCTCTGACTGATATAAGAATATATCTTGACGGCCTTAGTGAAAACTATAAAAGTAACAATAATAATTTTATAGTTAATACTTAATAGGACATAAGTATAAAACTATCAATAAAGTTAAAGCTTTAAAGATAACTATATTAAAGTTACCTGAAGCATATGAGTTTTCCTTGAATATGTCACCAAACATCAAGTTGATATAATGGGCAGCACATGGAGTCCAATAAATGTGTGGATACATAGCTTCCATCATCTTACCCGCACTAACATTCTCACTAGCATTATCGGTAACAACTTGTACAACATTTTTCTTTCCAATTTTATCAATAGTCTTTCTAAACAAGCTATACATTTTGCTTCCATCCATAGAAGAGTTGCTAGCATCATAAGATTCAAGAAAAATACTCCCTTTTGGAGAGTTCACCAACACATTTATGATCATTTTCGCATTCCGCGCTGTCCATTTATCCATCATAATGGAATATCCAAACTTGTTCCATTCCACTTTATGCTCCTCAATAATTTTGTCTATCTTCTTCACCTCTTTTTAAAGATGAGTTACTCTAACTTCATGATAGCTAGGAGGCTTTATTCATGGGCCATATTGTCCTACGACCTCACTGAATTTATCAAAAGTTTTGTAGTTAACACAATTGAAAGGAAGCCCTGCATCGTACATCCATACTGCAAAGGCACTTACAGCGCGATCCCTCAAAATCTTCTTGGCTTCTAAACCTGAACTAGAATCACCTTTTCCCTTTTCTTGTTGTTTTGCCGAAAAATAAAGATTGAGAGGACCTTTTGTCACAGTACGTGCCGTGGATGACCCACTAGAACTATTTGAAGATATCTTTTGAGTTTTTTTTTTTTTGGGGGGGGAGGGTCCCATTTCATCATCTTCATCAATTAGATTCACCGATGCTTCTTAATTCATTTGAGTTTTTGTCACATTTTTCTTATCAACAAATGCTTTTACTTCCTCCCTAACCTCGGGAGGACAAAGAGGACATTGTACTATATTTTTAAATCCACCTATCAAATGTTACTTATGACGAGTTATTCCACCATGATATGTTTATTCACAACACAAATATTTAATTGCGGATCTTGATGAGCCTTTTATAGCATAATTCCAAGCTATATTATTTCGTTTATTACTATCGGATGACGCTTTTTCAATGCTGTTTTATAGAAAAAAAATTATCAAGTCAATATGCAATTAATTCTACTCTATAAGACTAAGTTTATAATTGAAAAAATATAGCAAAAAAAACAGAGCCTAAAAAGAGACTACTGCTACCGCCTCTGCTGTCGAAAAACAGACCCCAAAAAAAAATGAGAGAAGAAGAAAGAGGAAGGGAAGAAAGAAAGAAAGACCAATCGAAGTGCCGACTGTCGAAGGAAAGGAGAAGAAAAAGAAAGGAGAAGAAGAAAAGAAAAGAAAGTAACATACCTGGTTTACTGTGCTGATGTTTGATTATGGAGAAGATGAATCCCAAGCCCTAATTTTTGAAGTTGCTTAGTTGTATTCGCTGAAGGAGAAGAAGTTAAAATCCAAGCCCTAATATTTGTATTTTACACTATCGCTGCCTTTTACTTCTTTTTCTCCAAATAGCGTCGCTACGCTACGCCTCTCGCTACACAGGCAGAGGCATACGCTTTTTCAGAATCGCACCGCAACAGACCAAAATAACGCTACTGCCTCGCGCCGCTTCGTCACACGCTATTAGCGACGTAGCATTCTCTATTTACAACACTGACTTTTACTAACATGATTTATGTAATAACTTAACTTAAGCACAAAGTCACATTCAAACCAACCACAAACTTTGATAAACAGCAAAGGAAACATAATAATAACAAAAAATGGAAATTTCTACATTGTTTAGAAAGTACCTTGATAGCAGCAAGAGAAACAAAACAAACATGAAAATAAGTCTCTGAACAAAGCTTGAAGCAAAGCAACCGCAATGAAACCCAGTAGAATAAGAAAGACGACCAGATTTCAAAAATAAGAAGAAAGGAATGTAGTTTTTGATTCTGAAAGATCAAGAATGATTTTCAGAAGTTTTTCCTTTTTGAAAGAGAAAAAATCTTAAGGAAATGTAGAAACATTTTTTTGTTTTGTTTTTGTGTATGTAAGTGTATTCAGATCTAGGCCTATATCTGTCTATATGTGTGTGTAGCTATTTCAGTCTCTCAAAATGTGTATTCATNGGTACAAAAGAATCTGCCATAATTCCCATAAATTAGGGAAATGACATCTTTCTTAACAGAAATGGACAGATGTTCAATTTCTAGTACCTTACTTATCTCAGAAAATGGACAAGTGTCCAATTTCTGAATATTTTTGGATCTTATACCTATTTTCCTACTCAGCATTGGGACAGTTGTCCCTATTCTAGAAGTTTCTAGTATTTTCTGAATAATTTTCAGAATTAGGATTTCAAAACTGACCATTAAGGGTCTTGGAATTATCTCAGAACCAGATTGGTTCTATCTGGTTCTGGGCCTGAGTCAGGTGACTCTAGGCCTAAGGACTTTGGGCTCTTAAGCTTTTTACAAAGCTATGGGCATGTCTATTCAGACAGGCCCAATTTATGAGCTAAGTAGAATGGGCCACTTCATTGAGGCTCACCTCTTAACCAAACCAAACAACAGTAAAAATAAATAAAAAAAAGAACGGCAATTAATTTAACAAAATAAATAACAAAGCAGTAATACTAAAAATAAACTCAGAACTAATAAAGATAAAAAATAAATAATAAAAAAAATAGAAAGCAAAAAAGGATAAAAAAACAGTAACAACACAGAATAAAACGCTTAATAATATAAAAATTAAGGAAAACAGAATTTATATAAGCAATGATTTATATA